ACAGATATATAACTTTTTCTGTTATGGAACATGATTATTTTGCACTGCAATGAAAAGAAGAATCTTGGATTGCTTGTTATATCTGTTTTTTTACATGAATTCCTATGGGCTGCTGCCACTTTTGCCCTCCCATGGAGGATTCTATGAATAGAAATTAAGAAGCTGAAGTACAGCTTCATACCCAGTAAGACTGGAGCCCCTTGATCCCAGCAATTCACTGACAAAAGAAAGCCAGAAGGTGATGCTAACCTGTTAGTCAAAGGTCTAATTGAAATAATAGACTGTGCCTTGCAAGAATGACATTCTGCCAAGGCTGCTGTTCAAGTTTGTGTCTCTTATATCTCTTTATTGCTGGTCCTGACATGATCATCTTTGCTCTTGACCCAGATTTGCTGTCCCTGGTGCATTGTTTAAGTTATGCTCAATATAAATATATAGTTATTAACACAGTAAGAACTGAAGCTGCAATTCAACACACACACACACAGAGAGAGAGAGAGAGAGAGAGAGAGAGAGAGATGGCAATAAAGTTGTCAATTGTGAGGTAGAAGAATGAATGGCACCTGGGGGATGCTAACAGTGCAGTCCTAAGAATGTCTGCTCCAAAATAAGTTCTATTGAATTCAGTGTGGATTATTCCCTGGTAATTGGGGTTAGGATTGAAGCCTAAATGGGATTCTGCCACTTCATTCTGCTGCATGAGTAGGCCAGGCCAGGCAAGGCCAGCCATCCAGACAGATAGACAATATATTTACCTGCAAAGCTGAAACTGGGTAAATCTCCTTCACTCCTTAATACATAATATTTCTCCCTTGAGAAATGTAGTGGCTGCAAAATGGTATGCAAGTTGTGTGTTCAATATGGGGGTTGTGGGTTTTTTTGGGGGGACTTTCTATTTTTGTATTTTTGAAAACCAATTATTTACACACACACACACACACACACACACACACACACACACACCTATTACGTTTAGTTTGATTGTATTGTAATAAATGGGCAAGATGTAAGGTTATTTTAGTGTGACTGAGTTTGAGGAAAATGGACTGGATCAAATATTTATACTGTTTCTGTAATCTAATTGATAATATCTTCATCACCTTGACTAATAGGGTACTTAGAAGCAAGAGCGATGAAAAAAGAACCCGTAAAAAAGCAATCCCTTTTCTTCTCTGATTCAGCAGTGTAGGCTCTGTTTAGTCATTCTGGAGTGGGGCAAGAAAGAGCTACTTGCCCTGCCAAATAGAACAACACTACTGTAGGCAATATTGAGCTTCATGGGCCAATAATCTGACTTCTCAGGCTATTAATGTATGAATAGGTGGCCCTTTTCAGACACCACACTGAACATGATGATGTTGAAGGATGGGGCCAGCAGCGTTTGTGACACTAGGAAAGGCTAGAGATGTGGTCCAATGGCCTTTCCTCCACATCATAGCACTATATCTGGATAACATGTGAATAGGGCTAGAATATTTGGTCTATATTTTTTCCCCCTGAAAGTGCAAATTGAGTAGGTTCATGTGAACTGAATCAGATTTCTCCCCTGTCCTGATGTGGACAAAGTGCACCCCCTCCCCTGCCTCTGTACCATGTCTAAAAAGAGTCCAAGATTCAAGCTGTCTCGTTTCCACATAGCTCACCAGGCTTCCTAGCTTCAGGCTACAAAGATCCCAAAAGTTCATGCCCCGGAAGCCCTACTAACAGTTGTCTCCAGGTGAACCTATGGACAGCAACAATCTGTTGTATATCTGTTTCTTTTTCTCAGTTATATATCTTGCCCAGCATCATGATGCATTTGCATTGAAGCATGTGGATCACTTGCAGGAATTGCAGAAAATGGAAAAATGACACATCCCTGATAAGGGAATATGAATTTATTTGCTACCTTCTATAGCAAATAAATATATTAACTATTAATCCTTATTTTTAAATGAAATAATCCATTTTTAAAGGCACTGGTTCCAGTATTAATAAGGAGAAATGCAGGACACTTGATAATAATGTGATGAGAAGGAAGATGGAGCCAAAAGGTATGAGGAACTCAAATGCCAAGATATGATAGTTTCCAGGATGGCAGTTGTCACAATACATTCATGTGCATGCTCAATGCATGCAGCCATAGTTACATGGTGTTAATGGGGCACATATGCTTGACACACATTAAGTCATGCAAGTTTTTAGCTATGAGGCTGTTTGTAACAGAGAGTGACAATGCTGAAGCCTCATAAATGCAAGAGTCAAGGGAATAAACCAATCTTCTTGAGGATGATAGCTGACTACTTCATTAGGCTTGTTTCGTTGACATTTTGTCTCATAAAAATAGTTCTTTTTCAGATTCCCCCCTCCATATTCTTCATCTTTCTGTGTTGGAACTGGCTACTATTAAGTTGTCTGCAAATACATAAGAACCCTGCTTGGTCAGACCCATATTGTCCACTATCCTGTCTCTCACATTGGCCAACAAGATGCCTATAGTCCTTTAAGTGAAACCCTACTTCCTAGCAACTGGTCTCCTAGCCTTCTTCAACCTGGTGCCCACCATATGTTGATAGACTTGACTCCCATCAGCCACATAAACAGAGGTCAAGAAGGATGGGAGCTGAAGTCCAACAACAATTTGAGGGCATCAAATTTGGGAAGGCCTGAAATTCTGTGGCTTATTGCATTTGTGCATGCAAGTTCCATTGACAGACTTTTCTTCCATTAATTTGTCCTGAACCCTTTAATGCAGTTATGAGGAGCCTGTGGGCCTCCTAATGTTCCTGAACTAAAATTCTCATCATCCCTGGCAATTGACTCTGTTTTCTAGGGCTGATAGGAATTGTAGTTCAGCAATATCTGGAGGGGAAAAGGTTCCCAACTCCTGTATTAAAGCCCTCTGAGGTTGTAGTCCACATCTCTTATGAAAAGAGTGAGATAAAGAACAGTGGCATGAAACATATTGGATTGCCTTCAAAAGCAAGAAAAAAATTCTACCACTTATTTGGATCTTTTCCTCCTGTTTGTTTTAGGAATGGTGGAGAAATTCAATACAGTTCACATTTAAATGTGAAGCTGTTCAATTCACACTATCTAAAATAATACATGAACTGAAACACCAATCATTTGAAATTTGCACTTCCTTTGAATTTTGCAGAGCAAAAATGCATTATATGAGGGGAAATTGCTTTGAGTATATTAGAGTTAGTTGCATATAGAAATGTGTATATTAGGAGAAATTCACACATACATGCTAATTAATTTCAAAGCAGACTAAATACAAACTGATGTAGAAATGTGGACAACTGACTTTAAGATTGGAAAAATGAAAAGCAGAGAAACTTAAATTGACTCTTTCGCCCATACCCCCTTTTCCTCTTGGGGATTGATGCCATTTCCTGGTTTTGGGGAATTTTGGTACAATCAATGGAATAAGGATCTACTTAGGCTGCTGATGGACTTTTACATCATTGACTACAAGGATCAAAACATCTAGCAGATCTGTATAATAATAATTACATATTCTTCAGTGCAAGTTTGTATCATGTGGCTGAACCAATGTAAAAAAAGAGAGAGGGTTTATAGCAAACTATGTGTGCTGTTGGTAGGGAATCACTTTTCAATAGAATATTTTAACAATGACATCATATTGACTCTTGTGAGTAGCAGATTCAATAATCTAATCAACAGAAAGTAAGTACAGAATATGGGTGACGAACTATATACTCTATCAATACAAATAAGGGTATAATTGAAATGGGTATAATTTTATGATTCCCTCTAGCCCTAGTGAGAACTAAATGCCATTATTGTCACTATTAATAGTTACTTGATTAATAGATTTAAAGATAATCAAAATGGGCTCTTGTACAACACACTCTCCCACAACATTGAATAATAATTCAAATTAACTGATTACTTCTGATTTGTAACCAGTGGCAATTCTGGCTCTTTTAAATATTAGTTGAAATTGTATTAATCTTCTAGGTTTTCCATTTTTTCAGATGAAATAGCATGCTGTCAAGCAATGATTACATACTAGGGGTGTGCATTGGCTCAGTGCAATCACCAAGTGAATCACAATGGGAGGTCTGCAAGTTTCTAATATGGACCATGCAATTAACTCACCCTTTAAGGTGAGTCAGGGACTCCCTAAGCTTGTGAGTCTCTCTGGCTTCAGCTGTCCAAAATGTATGACTTAAAAAAAATAAATAATTAATGACTGTTTTGTTTTTGTTTCCCAAAATGAAACAAAAAAGTCTGATTGGAGGAACACCTAAAGCTTGAAAGGGAAGAAGCTGGAGAGCTGAGCAGAATGTTTTGTTTTGTGAGATGGATCTTGTTTTGGTGGAGGGATGTTAAAACAATTACAGAGATTATTCACTTGAGTCTCCATTCTCTTCTGGGTTTTGACTGTAGGAGCAGGGTGTAACCAGTATAATTAGATTGTTGGGGTGATCTACTTCTTCCTTTTTTCCTAACAAATACTTCAAATAATTGTTTTCTTAATGAACAATTCAAAGCCTCATCTGTACTATGTCTCTAAAGCAGTATTATACCACTTTAAACAGCTCAAAAAATTCTGAAAACTGCCATTTCTTAAGGGTTCTGAGAGGTGTTAGGAGACCCCTATTTCCATCACAGCCCTGGAATTCTTAGAGTGGTTTAGCTGTCAGTACCTCTACCAAGAGAACTATGGGAAAAGCAAAAGTGCTCTTCTTAGAACACTGTGGCAAATGAGGGGAAAATCTGGTCTCTGGCTGTTGATTTCCCTCCCCCTCATCTGTCCCGTCAGTTACTGACAGTAGAAGCCCTGTTCCTCTGTGCCTGCTCCTGAAAAAGGATGCTCAACCCTAAAAGGAGATCTTTGCAAAATTCACAAACAGAGCAATATATATACTCAAACCCTACCTCTGACCAGGATAGTCATTTTGTGAGTTGCTTATAATAGTCATTCACCTTTTCATCTCTCATTCTGTTGACCAGAAACATGGGCTCCTGAGAAAAAGGAGCCTTTAGGGATAGCTCAGTGGTAGAGCATCTGCTTTGCATGCATAAGGTCTTGAATTCAATCCCTGGCTTCTCCAGGTTGGGCTAGGAGATTCCCTGTCTGTAAAACCCTGGAGAGCCTCTGATAGTCAGTGTAGGCAATACTGAGCAAGTTGAACAAATAGCCCAGTTCATTATAAGGTCAATAATAATCATAAGTGGATTGAAGGCAACTTTCTATGTCCCTAATATTAATCACAATTGGACTGAGACTCAAATGTCAGGGAACCAACTCCCCCTCCCTAAGTAGCTGCTCTTCTTGCTCACAGAACAGATCACAGAAAAATATTTTGCCATCTCATGAATTCCATCCCACAGCTGCATAATTGTTATCAGTGAAGCCATGTTTTTCAACCGCCGTGAACATCTCTCTGTCGAGCAGAAACAATCTCAGAAGTGAAGGCATGATTTCTGTCAAAGCGCCACACATTTTTATTCAGTGCAGACATTTCTTGCAGGTATCATGCTGCTCATAGCTGTGCCAGAGGTAAACGGCACACAGGGGAAAGTCAGAGAAGGGCAACCATTCTGAAAATGCAGTTAGACCTCCTGCATTCGAATGCATTTGAGTCTTTAATAGCGAACGCTGTGGATTAGGATGGTGCTAGGTGGGAGATTTTCATATACACCCCTTGCTACAAGGCAATTACATTTGGCGCTGACTCAGCCTGCAGGTTTGTTTGCACAACCAAAATGATTTGCTGCATAATGGGATTTATGGGGGGAAGAAAGCAAAGTGCAGATGTTTCCGCATTAATTCTATTCTTCGAGTTGCCTCTAAATTCTGACTGTGAAAGTGTGGCGGAGCTTGTAAACTGTGCAGAGCAGGAGCAACATCAAACAAAAATTAAGAGAAGGGACAACATAGGAACATTAGCTCCATCTAGCTCAGTATTGTCTACTTTGATAGCAGTAGCCTGTCAGGGTCGAAGACAGGATTTCCAGCCCTCCTCAGAGAAAGAGTTCTGTCCTCATGGTTTAAACAGCAAATAGGAAGTTTTACAATACTGAGTCAGCCCATTGGTCCATCTTGCTCAGTACTGTCTACACTCACTGACAGAGGCTCTCAAAGGTTTTGAGCAGGATCTTTCACAGGCCTACCTGTGCCAGGGATTGAGCCATGAAGCTTCTGCATGCAAAACAGATGCTCTACTAGGGAGGGGTTCAGTTGCTCCCATTTCTATCTGAGACCTCAATAAGGATAGGTGGGTCAGCCTATTTCCAGTCTGTATCCATTCTAAATTTTCCCTGGCTCAGTTGTGGGTCCATTCGGTTCTGTGTTTTTGCAGGGATGGGGGGTTAATGCACACACACACATCATGTGTGAATAATATGCCTAAAATATGCCTTTAAAATCCAATGCATTTTCCTCTGATACATGTATTTTTGTATGCACTTTTTTGCTCCAAAAGTGCATTGCAAAATTTGGAAAAGTGCACAATTGAATTGAAAGCTGGATCATGACTGGGATATCAAGAGGCAATGGGCAGAACAACCAATGTGAATTTTTTCCTGCTTGCACATCCCTCTCTATTCTCACTTCATACAAAAAAGCAGCATTAGCAGAGTTCAAGGACCTTGTAGAGGCCTGGAGGGCAGCATGTGGTGCCTGGGCCTGTAGTTTCTCATTCCTGATCTAATCTGACAGAGACTCCCCAGAGTCTTCAGCAGAGGTGTTTCTCCATCACCTCTGGAGACAATAGGAATTGAACCTGCGACCTTCTATGCACATAACATGTGCTGTATCCCTAAACCATGTTTTCTCCCTTTCGTAAAACCTGTATTTTTCTCTCTTGACACATAATATCAGTTCCTCTATTCCAAGCTTGATTTGAGCCAAGTTTGCCAAACTTTACATGGTTTCAGTATCAGTCTTACAATTGTTGGATAAAAATAGGGAAGTTCAATGTACAGAGTGTATTCTTACCTTTGCCACAGTGCCTTTCCTACTACCATACATAAGGAACACAGAACAAGAGATTCAACATTTCTATTTTTTGTCCACCATACACCTCTGAACAGGTAGAAGAATTAGAATTAGAATAATCTTTATTTGCATCAGCCACAAGCCATAGCAATAAAATAAAAGAAAATGTACAGAAGATAAAGGTAAAAGCTTAACTATATAAAATACATTTTGGGGGTTTAGATCAATAATCAAATGATAGATCTTATTTTAATTGCCCCTGCTAAAAACCTTGCAGCTTTTTCTGTCACCTGTTCATCTTGATCTGCCACCACCACTGAAGCCATCTGGTGAGCAGATATTGGATTTTTAAAATTAAAAATGGGGAGGAGAGAGGAAACTGTAACCACCATGGTAAGCTCCCCCATGAAACTTTGCAGAGTCCCAACATGGCATCCCTAGAACAATAACAAAAATACACTCCTAATTTTGCTCCTTGCAAATGGGGTAGAGAATTTGGAACAGAGATTTGATATATTTAGCTTTAGCCATAAAGAACCTTTGGTTCTCTTCACTTTCTTCTCTTTATTTTGCTATTGAGATTTGACGGAGTTTGTGAACATATTTTGGTAACAGGCTGAAAGGAAATAAATGGAAGATTTAATCTACAGCATTTTGAAAGATTATCAAAGAGTTAAGGTGTTTCATGCAAGGTTTTTTTGAAATATATAGGCTTTCTTTTTCCCAGAAGGCAGAGGGGAAATGGCCTACTAGGATAATGGCCATCTGTATAAGACAGATGGTTCCTCTGCATTTCAGATACCAGACCTATTTTCTTCTATGGAAAATAAAATCCATCCATAGGTGGAAAATTAACATCACAATCTAATGCATTAACCTTCCACCAACACAAGTTCATCTCCTGCAATCTAGCCCTCATAGTTTACTATAGAACTTAATGCAAGGCCTCATACCATGGCTAGCCAAGAACAAGATGGCACATGCTCTCCATTCCACATACAAAATGTGACTAGACTGGCAACTGACTCTAACTGAACATTTGTGGCATGATAATGCCTTACACTGCACCTGAGGCAGTGGCCTACACTGCTCAGTGTTCCCGCAGATGGGAATGCCTGTGTGTGTGTGTGTGTGTGTGTGTGTGTGTTAAGAAACCATCTATTGCCTGAGGCAGTAATCTTGCTTTGCCTAATGGTAAGGCCACCCTGGCCACATATCCAGAATCCAATATTGAGCTTTGGGGGTTCCCCAGCTGGTGCCTCCCAGCACTCCTTTGTATCCAGCCTGTCCATGACAATTATCAGGTCAATGTCATTGTTGCGTTAGTGAAGTTCATTGCCAAAATCTAACTAAGATATAAGACTGTGCAAATACCTCCCTGGTGCTTGTATGTGAAGCCAACGTATTCTGAGTCTTACTTTTACTTATCTAGAGCAAGATTAATGAGTTAGTCAGTTTGGTTTATTTTTTACTCATTAACAGTTTATTCAACTTTAATGTAGCCTAAATCAGCAATTATGGGACTTTTTGTTGTTTTTCTCAGGAACTAAGACCAAGATTCATTGCTTGCCTTCTGAACAACTCAGGAGGTATTAAGGCCCTTCCAATAATGTTTTCCACTGGAAATGGATATTTACAATTAAAATTAATTGGACTGATTAAATGCAGAGACTTTGTTTCAATTGCCCAAGTGTTCCATAAGAGGAACATAGGACAAAATATTTATTTGGGAGAATTAGAGTACATTAGTTTTGGCTGGAGTGGAGGCAAAAAAAAAGCAAAAAAAAAAGCTCATTAGAAGGAAATAGAGTAACCTTTAGAATACACAATTTCCTATTAAAGCTAAAATATTGACCACAACATTCTCATTTGTTCCTCTGAGCTCACCTAAAAGTCTCAATCAATTCTCCAGTTGCATAGAATTTCCAAAGCACCATCATCCTGCAAACAGAAGAACAAAAGGAAATGGCAAGATGCATTCATCAAATGGAGTCAGCAGTTTCCTGCCTCTTTTTGTGTTCTTTGCCAGTTCAAAAATTGCTCTGTAAAAAAGGATTTTAAAGGCATGAAAAAGGGAGGGAAAATCTGTGGGTCCCTCCTTTTAATGTAAATCTTTACCAGCATTGGAGATACTTAAGGAACTTGATGTTTGTGAATTCTGATCTGAACCGACCCAATCCCTGCTAATGTGTAAATTGCACCTTAATTATCTGCCATCTTCTTTTATGATTGTATGATGTTCTGGTGAAGTTTTTGGCTCCAAAATCTATTAAAGTGTTGGATTACAGTTCTGATCATGCAGCAGACTTCAGGTTGCACAGTGGAGCTCCCTCTCTTCTCTCCTGCACCTTCAAATTCCGCTCCATTGGATCCCCTAAACTTTTTTGGGGGGGAGGGGAAGTTCCATTGCATGAGTGGAATGCTGCTCATACAACATTGGGTGCAATTTATATTTTTTTTCTAATATTAGCATCACCATTCTCTCACTGAGATTCTGTCTGTCCAGTTCCAGATGCTATTTCTCAGCTAGTTTCTCTCTTAGAAGTTAGTACTACTAAAATAATAAGTGAAAATGAAAACAAAATCTATTTGTGTGTGCATATGTGTGTGCTGAATATTCAAAGGGCAGAACCAGTGGCACCATCTAGGGGGCCTGAGGGGACCTCTGAAATTTTTAAGGAGGGGGACAAGACCCCTCAGTATTCCATGGCCATGCATACGCTGCATGATGTGGTAGTGTCATGCATGCAAGCTTTGTGGTGTGTGTGCCACACCTCAGCACATTGCTTGGCATCGCATATTGCACAGCACTGGCCCCCTCAGTCTAAGGGCAAGATGGCACACCTGAGCAGAACCAAGCATTTTCTTAATAAAATACAGTGGTACCTCGGGTTACAGACGCTTCAGGTTACAGACTCTGCTAACTCAGAAATAGTACTTCGGGTTAAGAACTTTGCTTCAGGATGAGAACAGAAATCGTGCGGAGGCGGCACAGCAGTAGGAGGAGGCCCCATTAGCTAAAGTGGTACCTTAGGCTAAGAACGGTTTCAGGTTAAGAACGGACCTCCAGAATGAATTAAGTTCTTAACCCGAGGTACCACTGTATTGGGA